TGTGCTTTAGCAGATATTGACCAAATATTTCAAATTCTGGTTTATAATGATAAGGGAAAAAGCTTCCGCCAGTAGTTTTGTATTGATGAATAAGATCTTCAGTATAAAGATATGGAGATATTTTTAATTCTAATATGAATAATGGTTCGGGAATAGTTTGTTGAACATAAAAAGTAGAATCTATAGAATCATTTACTTCTTGTTTATTGATAAAACACATGGATTCTTCAGAAACAGAATTAAGAAATTCATCAATGGCGTCTTTAGTATTTAACATATAAGTTTTCCATCCATCTTGACTAAGTAATTATTTATAAACTATTTCAGTGGTAGAAGGAACTGATTTAATTAAATCGATAAAATACTCTCTCACTAATTGAATTCTTTTTAATTTTTCTCTAAAACCACATCTAAAATCTGCTTTAATTATTTTATTAACTCTATCATAAGTTACTTTAGTATTAATTTTAGTATGATCTTCAATTTCTTCAATCATATCTTTATATTCTTCCATATTGTTTTCATATTGTTCTTTTTCTTTCAATTCATTAAAATAATTCTTCCTTTCATCGTTAATTCTTAATTCTTCTTCAAATTTTTTATACATATCTTCTCTCATTAAATCATCATTATCTTCAATATCATCAAAAGAAATATTATTTAAACTCCATTCTAAATTCTTTTTGTCAAGTTCTTTTTGAATTTTTTCTTCATCTAAATCTTTGATTAATGTTGCTTTTTTATTAATTAAACCAAAAGTTTGTTTATCTGTTTTGTTTAATTTATTGAAAACTTTTGATAAAAATGGTTGTTCTAATTTAATAGTACTTTTCTTGTTATCTTCCATTCTTTTTAATTGAGCTTCCAATTTTGCTTTGTAATGTAAATATAAATCTCTTGTTTCAATGTCCATAGCAATTAATTCTTTTCTGCATTCTTTATTATTTATTTTAGTAGAAGCAGCTTTAATAGTTCCAGCTTTAATAGTAAAACAGTTTAAAATATCTTCTTCAGAATAAGTATTAGTAAAATTATACAAATTCTTAAGTCTGTATTGTTCTTTATCAGTGTTCATTTTAGGGAAAATAAAAAAATAAAAATTTATATTAAAACTTTTTAGAAAAATAAATAGTTACGTTTTCAATTTTATTTTTTAAAATAAAAGTTTTCTAAATTTTGGGAAAATTTAGAAAACGATTTGAAAACGCGTCCTCGCGATTTTAAATTATTAAAAAATATAGGAAAAATTCTGTCCCCCCTAAATCCACATAATTTATATACTACTTTGGTTTGTTTCATTTTATATTTTTAAAATGGATTTTTTTCAATGTAAATAAAAATAAATAATTTGGTCAAAAAAACAAATTAAATGTTGTCTGGAGTGTTTATCAAAATAAAAACGAAAAACATATTTTTTTCTGAAACACAAAGTTAATTAATAATACTCAAAAAAATTAATTGTTTTTAACACTAGATAAAAAATTGGTTTTTAATAAAAAAAATCATTTTAGTCTTAATTCAACAAACTATTTATTATGGTAATGTAACCATTGTTATTAATTCATTTTCTCTTTAAAAAATAATAAAAACACGACTGTTTTCTCGATAAAAATAATTTATTATCCACAACAAAACAGTGTTATTTTTTATGAAAAACACTCTATTTAAGAAAGGCAACCCAATTTTATCAAATGCCATCACAAATTAAAGATACTTTGAAATTCCCGTTTGTTAGTATTATTTATGTTTAAATTAAATACAATTGTGCAAAAAGAATTATCAATTGACAATGAAAACAAACCCGTTTTGGAATTTGAAATATATATTTAGTCCAATAAAGCATCGAAAAAATATAATTAAGAATGAATTAAAATAAACTATAATAAAACCATCATCTTGTCTTTCTATTTAAGTTAAAACAACATCAATTTTTATATTAATCTTTTTTAAACATCTTTTTCACTTAATAAAATGGTAAAATGTTATCTTTTTTCGAGTAAAATATATATAATATCAAGCTATTTGTTCATTTGTGTTAAAAGAGAATTATTTATGTCTTGTTATTACAAAAATATTTTTTACCAATTTATCTACTATAAAATTGTGGAACTATTTCCAAAATAAATATCATGACCCAAATATGTTTTTTTATTGTTAATATACAAAAAAAACGCATTTCTGAACAACTATTGAATTAATGTTTATTTATTATAAATGAATATATTTAATAATATATTATAATTCATTATAATACATAATAATATAATTAATTTTATCAAAATAATATTAATTTTTCTTTGTTTGTCTGTTTGTTTGACTTGAAAAAATTATTTTTTACGGTTTTTTAAGTACAATAAAATATAATAAATTAAGTTATTTATTTATTAATATATTTATTAAATTAAAAAAATAATAAATTTTTTCATTAGTTATAATAACATTTAAATGAAATTTTAAATATAAAATTATATTTAAATAATATGGTTTTCAAACCATTTTTTTGTTGATAAAATGAATTATAATTATTTATTAAATGTTTATTGTAATAGTTTAAACAAATAAACAACAATTGATATTAATATGAAGACAACAGAGTCACATTTTAAATATACTACAACAGTAAAATTGATTTTTATAGTCAATGCAAATAATAATTGTATATAATCAAAACAATCGAACCACATTAACTTATGAAATGTTTTTATTTCTTGATAGATTGATCAATATAATATAAAAAATACTTTGCAATAAACACATAAAACAATTGATCGTTTATCGATTAGGTAATTACAACATTTATAACATCACATTGCATTGGTCTTTTATTGGTGTATAAAACGGCAATAATAAGTAATTGATCCTTGTTAAATAATATCAAAATATTAAAAGTATTAACAAAAGAAGACAATCTTATCATGTTGACAAATATGGAGGTATTTGTTTATAAGTTTTTAATGCAAAACTTAATATATATCCACATATTTTAACATCCAAAGCGACTTAAAAATAAATGCAGTTATTATTAAAAATGTTGCTATGTAAAACTTTTTATCGAACAACACAAATTTAAAACATATCAATGAAAATAGATAATGTTGTTGTGATTATATTGTTATAACATATATTTTCTTATTTTGATATCGTTGATTTTATCTATAATAACACAATTGTAATATCTTCATTTTAAAGTTTGCAACAAGTTAAACACACGTAATAACAAACACAAAAATATCAAACTACTCCTAACATTATATCATCAAATTTAATAAACATTATAGTTTGTTTAAATCACCATCATTGGATTTGACTTGTTGTTTAAGATATTGATATTTACACATCAATTACAAGAATGTGGTTTAACAAACTCGGTATTACTATTTCTCATTTGGTACAAACAACAAATGTTCTTGTTGAGAAGGTGCTTTAAACGCCAAACAATATTAAACAACATTAATAAATATTTGATTATTGATATGTAAACTCGAGACAACTTGATGTTACAACGTTATTAAAGATATTTACACAACATAAAAATTATTGTAAAATAGATAAAAATGTTAAAAACGTGATTAATACGATTTATTGAAATATTAACTAGTTGTTGTTTTGCTTTTGATTCTCAACAAATGTGTTGATTATTATTGTGTTTACATATTTTAAATTGTTAAATGTCTTTTTATTTTTTAATAATTTTATGAATATATATTAATTTAATATAATTATAATATATATAATTAATATATTACATCAAGTGAAATAATAACAATAAATTAAATTGATTAATAATATAATAATATTGTATAGAATAATGTAGTATAATAATATATTAAATTATTATTATTTTATTAATTATATTATAGTATTTTATAGTATTTTAGTAGTTATAATTAAAATAACTATATAAGATTATTTTATTTAGAAAAAAGTAATCAAAAAAGTCTTTCAATCACTTTAATATCAACTGTCGTATTCAGTGTGCTGGAAAGTAAATTTTATCATCGTTCTCTTTTTGAATTGTGTAAAATGAACAACATGCAGTGGTTTTTCGAACCATGATTTGATACATAAAATAAAGATAATTATAAAATGGTAGTTGTGTGTCAAATTGATAGGATTTGTATTATAATAAATATTATAATAAGTACTATTAGAATTTTTTTAAAAAATAATTAAAATTTGTAAGTTTTTTTAGTGGATTTGACTGCATTATAACTTGATTGTAGAACCATACATAAGGCTATCATCCAAACAAAAGTTAATAACCATACCAATTACACGCTTTCTATATTGTGGATAATCGATATTATCATATTTTCTTTGCTTTCAAACTCCTCAAAAAAATGATCAAATTTATGCCCGCTTTTTTATGTATTTTATACGTGTTATTTTTCTTAATAAAATATTGGATGGCAATCAGAGACTTTTGTTTACCAAAACGGAAGTTAAACAAAAAATCTATTTTTGATTCAATTTCAAAGTAAAAAATGAATCGTTATGTCCATTTTTTGCTTAAAATCAAATTTTTACACTAGAAAAGGGAACCTTGCTTCAAACCCGAAACTTGCCAACGGACAGTTTTATTTTATTTAAATAAAGTATGAATTAAGACTAAATTACCTAAGAATTCGATTAAAAACGTCTTGAATAACAATACAAAAAACAAGAATAGTTTTAAACCTATATATTTTAACTACAAAATAGGTTTGTCGTAACACATTTCTTGTGATAAAATTTTTCATCTTTTGCAATCAATTGCAATGATTGTTTCAATCATCTCTTTTTCTAGTCCTTTGTTTAAAAAACTAAAAAAACAATAAAACAAAACAATGATTTATCTAATCATTATTCACTTGGAGTTTTTTAGCTTGGATTTTTTTCTTTTTGTCGTTTTTGTTCCCAACACACTCTACACATGATGATAGAGTGCGACAAACATATGTTTTGATCACAAAAAGAACACAATTCTTTTACGCGACTGGCTTTCGCTCCGATACAGAGATGACACTTTTCCCTCTCCCGACTGAATCTTCTTGTGTATTTTATTTTTTCGGGTGATTTTGACTCAATCCACCAATTTGAAAAACCGCACGCGTAAAACATTCTTTTTTTCTCTTTTGTTTTTTTACATCCCATTTCTGAGTCGACGTTTGATGTAATTTTCAGAAAGCTGTTTTGACAAATTAGCAAGAAAATCGAAATGGTTGTTTTGTTTGCATTCTTTAAACATTCCATATGCATTGGTTGTGGCACAATCCAAAATATTTTGAAAAACGACCATATTGTATCGACGTGTTTTCGTTTTTGTCGTATATTGTTGACAAAGAAAATCAAAAGTGTCCACTGGAGTTTTACTATAATTATAAAGAATGTTTATTTCTGATTTAGACTTTGAAGAGTCTATAATCGGGACATTAAAAGCATTTGTTGCAATGATGACAGTTTTTGTTTTTTGGAGGTTGAATGAAGTTAAAAGAATGCCGTCTTTTTTCCAAAATCGGATATTTTGTAAATTGGCTTCTTTATCTTTATAAAATTGGGGGGTTTTGCGTTTCAATATTATCCATCTCCATTTTCGTTTCATCAATTTTTTGTTGTTTTCATCATCTTGTTTTTCGAATTTTTCCAAAATTTCCCGATTTGGAGATTCTTTTGAAGATAACGTTGCAACTTTTTGAAAAAGTTTTTCTTCTTTTTTCTTCGATAATTCCATTTTTTTTTCAAAATACTTTTTCAGACTTGAATATTTCTTTTTCTTTTTCTGCCATTGAATTTTGTTTGGCCTCTTTTGGGATATTAGTACTTCGTTGGTTCAGAGTGCCAATGTACCCAATTTTTTCCCTTTCAAGCTTGCCAATTACATTTATTGTTGTAAAGTAATTGTCGCTTTGAAGTAAAAATTCCAAAGATTGAGAATTTTTTGGAAGCAAATTTTCTATTAATTCCATAACAACAGACTCTCCATGGTGATATTTTTCTTTTGGAGTAACTTTCCCTATCAATTGGTCTTTCTTCCCCTCATACATTGTCATCCCAACACATATTTTTTTATCGTATGTACAAATACAATAAAGTTTCAACCCCCTTTTATTGGTTTTTGTGGGCAGTATTGGATTGCCTTGCAACGACCTTTGAACCCAAAAATTCTTTCATCTACACAAACAAGTTGACCGGGAGTACAAATGTTGGTAATATTACGGGAAAAAATCCCAAATAATTCTTTGACTGCTGGAAAAACTGTTGTTGTTCTTCTTTCTTCTCTTGTGGCTT